TCTTGGTAATCGATTTTGCAGGTGGCTGGTGACTCATCGCTATGCGGCTTGCAATAGGCTTTGCAGGTTGCAACGTGTTTCAGCGTTGCATCATGCATTGCATCACGCTATTGTTCTAGAACCTTTTAGAATCTTCTGGATGTTTTATCTTATCTTCTTCTTGGTAATCGATTTTGCAGGTGGCTGGTGACTCATCGCTATGCGGCTTGCAATAGGCTTTGCAGGTTGCAACGTGTTTCAGCGTTGCATCATGCATTGCATCACGCTATTGTTCTAGAACCTTCTAGAATCTTCTGGATGTTTCCTTGCGAGTAAAGCCGAGTTCACATAGTAAAGCAGCTTTCATACATAATTATTTAATTATTTAGTATACTTCTTTATAAACGATACGTACATATATATATTTTCAGGTAGTAATAAGGCGGGTTTCATACATGCACTGAGAGAAAAATAATAGTATTCTTCTCTTAGTGTAGTGGCTCCTTTGGGCGTACGATGGATATAATGTTATTTTGCGCTATGTATAAGATCTTTGGGTTTTATAATTATAAGTAAATGTATTTGTAAGAAGTTTTGTGTGTTAATATATATATATCGCGTATATATTTAAAGTTTAATACCATTGAATAATATATTTTAATATTAGTAAAATGAATATTATATCGTAATAGTCGATCTGTATAATTAATCGAAATTTATTCAAATCGAAATTTATTCAAAAAATAAATAATTACTATCCATTTAAGTCAAGAGAGAAAAAGGAAATAATTGTATTATATGTCAAACGTTATATCCTATACTGTCGTTGAAATCACCGGAGAATACCATATGTCTTATACAGTCGTTGAAATCACCGGAGAATACCATATGTCTTATACAGTCATTGAAATCACCAGAGAATATGTCGTCAAAGTATACGATTGATATATATATATATAGTGTCGTGAAAGTATACGATTGACATATATATATAGAGTCGTGAAGGTGTCTCGGAACAAACCCTTTGACGTAAATATATATATATATACGTTCTTAACCTTATTTTAGGTTTTCTCACAAATAATCAATGAGGATTTTAAATACTTATATATTCATAGTCGAACTATGGTATCCTTATTTAGTACTTTCGAACGTGTGACGGATACAATGTTACTACGCATTACGTGTACGATTTTTAAGTCTCTCGAATTATGAATAGTTATAATATAGGCATGCTTATTCTTATTTCAGGTTCATGTTTCCTAACGAATGATCGAGAGTAGAGAGTCTTTATTAATTATGCCTTTTATGCTATCAATATTATTAAATTTAAAAGTGAATTATTACTCTGTCGTCATTTGTGAGAAGACATGTTTTAACCTACGAGTAATTATATGTGTGATTAAATATTCGTTATTACCGGTCTTTCATGCAGGTTAGAGATTGTCATGACTAATAGATTAAAGAATAAAGTTTTGAAAAAGTTTGAAGTTTTGAAATTGTCTGGACGTTACACGAGAATCGACTCTCTCGATGGCAGCTCGTCAACGCAATGCACGAGCGAGTCTGGCGTGCTTGGTCTCTTGACTATTTGCATTCGTTGCAGCAACGAAGCAAATGGAAGGATAAGACTGCGAGTTTTTGCGTCGGTGAGCTTGTGCTCGTAAAGAACCCACTGCTCCCTCCGAGTAAGTGGGAACTCGCTCGAGTTACACAGATCCACCCCGGATCCGACGGGCTCGTTCGGGTAGTAACGATACGCACCGCGTGCTCCTCGTTCAAGCGACCAATCACGCTGCTTTGCCGTCTCCTGATTAATTGTGATAATTAATTCCGTATTATACGAAAATTTGTAAGTGGATTAAATCTAGATTTAGGGAAGAGTTTGTATTTGTTTGCAACAGCGGTTCGCTGGTCTTTCGGTTGAAGATAACTGTGTTATCCGAACGGACGACCTTCGTATAGATATCCGTCCCTATTTGCACTCGAAATTTCGAGAAAGAAAATACTTCGCACGTTCTAAGCAAGCTGTGCTCATTGTTCGCAAATTTTATTGTTGTCACATAGTCACGTCGTCGCGAAGATTATAAGATTTCGCCCTTTTAAAGGTCATTCAGCGAGTTTAACATCGATTGCTCATTTTGACACATTATAACGACTCAAACCTGTGGAATGATTTCGCATCGGTTCGCATGCGAGGCGGGCGGTATGTTTAAAACTTGGAACAAAGCTGTCGAGAAAAAAAAAATATATATATATTGTTCTGGTTCCGAGTCGAAGCCAGGGACTCAAGGCTCGACCAACGATCGACTTTGTTTGGCACCTCGAGCGGACATCGACAAGTCAACCGGCCAGCGAATCACGATTAGCCGCGCGCGTGTCACGCGCCGAGTTCATGCAAAGCTCGTGATTCCGAATCGGTTGTCTTCCCCGAGGTTAAAAAAAGAGTTCAGTTAGCCCAAAGACACAGTCAAGAGCACCCAACGATAAAGCGGTATGCTTGTAACGGATCCGCGATATCCTGTCTTTCTTTGTTCTTGAAGAACGACAATCGAACCTCAATCACGTATTCAATAGTCTATCAAAAGGGTCCGAAGCGTTGGAACCAGATACAGTGTACAAATCTGATATGATACAATAAAATTACTGTTATTAAAATTAAATAAAAGGAAAAACAATCACAATAAAATATAAAATATATTTCATTAAAATTACTTTACGGTTTAGTAAAATTAATAAAACATGTTTCATATTTTATTGTGATAGATATTATTATTTTGAATGTGATAAATATTAATTAGAGGAATTCTAATAAAATTTTTTCCATACAATATTATCCTACGATTACCACAATTTTCAGGGCAAATTCTAAGAGAAAATTCTCTCAGATTGTGATTATGTGTTGTAATTTGTAATCAGTTATTTATTACAATAATTTTTAATCAAGTGCGTGAGTCAAAGTGTCAATAGAATTTATTACAAAAAAATGATTTCATCATGCAGTGTGTCACAGTGTGTCAATATCGGATTGTATCCAGTCAGGCAACAATTATTCGTCAAAGGACATCAAACATCTCTACAAGGTAAGAATCAGTGAGAGAGAGAGAGAGAGAGAGTGTGTGTGTGTGTATACGCGTACACACACACGCACACACACACACACACAAAACGCCGCGTGTAACAAACAGCTGATCGCTTCGAGCGCCCACGTAATCGCCCGCGTCGGATAATGTGGTGCGCCGCTCCTGATTACCGCCCGTACTCGTGCTGTAATTCGCTAACTATTTCTTTTTATATTTCAAAAACTAAGCTTCGGATAAAATTTTGGCAAAGGAAAAATCGTCTTTAAATTGAGTCAGGAATACGACATTTTAAAGACAAACGGTTGTTTTGAATCACCCTGTATAATACAGGAAGGATCGATGATATTTCGACTATCTGTCAACTGTGTCGGTCCGACGGTTTCTTCAAAAAGCTTCCGCCCCGGCTCTCCCGTTGCGGGAGAGACGCTCCGATCGAGAAACACACAACTCTACCTTTGTGCCGTAGCCTTCCCTGGCGGGAGGCGGCGGTCCGCGCGCGTCCTCGGACAGCCTGATCGAAGAGCCACCACGATTATTCTTTCTCTCTCTCTCGTCCGAGAGAAGAGACCACGATGGTTGAACGAGAAGCGCGTTTCTTCGCGAACGCAAAAATTTCGAACGATTACCCTGAACGGTGAATCACTTGGCTCGTAGGTCGATGAAGAACGCAGCTAATTGCGCGTCAACTTGTGTTTAAAATTGTCACGTATTTTCGGAGCGACGAAACAAGGTCAATCGTAGAAATTGAAAATATTCGACGCCGAGATGTTATTCCGGTTGTTTTCGATTCCGCGAGCGAGGAATCTACAAAAACTCGCCTTTGTCTCGCGTTTCGGAGCGTGATGGGGCAATCGTCCGCGAATAGGATTTCAGCACGTGTGCCACGCGTCGATCGGATGATCGATCGCCCCCTTAGCTGCCGAATTCCGCGAGGATCAAAAATGAGTCTACTCGAGGAGTCTGAACTGAAGAGACGTCTCCGTGTATATCAGCGAAAAGAGCATCGCGCGAATTTATCTCGTTCTAGAGCGAACTTCCGCGTTTTAATCTTGTCTGCGAGAGTTTTGAATAAAACTGCTTTGCCTCAAAAGTGAATTTCTCCACCTTTACAATTTTTCCGCATCCAGTCTCCTTCGTATCTACGAGCCGACTTATAAATAAATAAATTTGCCTCTGCGCGGAAAATTAAAACAAATCGAAGGTTCTCGCACAGAAGTAAAATGGTCCTTCGAGCCGGATTGTGAAGATAACGAGGACGATAAGGTAAAACGGAGAAAGTGATTCTCGTGTGACTCTCGCGGACAGTGAAAAAGCGCGGGTGGACAATAGAAGCACATCGTCTTACAAACGAGTGTGCAAAAGAAGAGACAGGAACCAAGTGTCGAGTTCGCTTTAGAGAAACAAGTGTACGGGTAGACTCCGATTCACGTCGTCAAAACCCAATTCGACTCGTGAGACGAAACTTAGTGGTCTCTTTCGAGACAAATTCGTCGCGTTCGACAGTCAGGTCGTTCGCGAACTCGTGCCGTCGGCGCCGTTCACGCGCCCGACATACTTAGTGGTCTCTTTTGAGACAAATTCGTCGCGTTCGACAGTCAGGTCGTTCGCGAACTCGTGCCGTCGGCGCCGTTCACGCGCCCGACATACTCAGTGGTCTCTTTTGAGACAAATTCGTTGCGTTCGACAGTCAGGTCGTTCGCGAACTCGTGCCGTCGGCGCCGTTCACGCGCCCGACATACTCAGTGGTCTCTTTTGAGACAAATTCGTCGCGTTTCGACAACAAGGTCGTCCGCGAACTCTTGCCGTCCGCGCCGTTCACGCGCCTGACATAATCAATGGTCTCAAGTCAAACTTGAGACATACGCGTCGTGTTCGATAGAAAAAGCGTCCGCGAATCTTTCCGTCTGTACTACTGACGTTGCTCAAAAAAAAAAAAAAATGTCGACAGCAAAAGATCTGTTGATCGCGCAATTAGACACGATCTCTCAAGTGAAACGCGTGCTCGTGAATTACAAAAAGTTGGCTAAGGTCAATATTACCCTGCCAAAAATTCAAGAACGATTGGACGAGCTTACGTCGCTCTGGGCATCCTGCAGGGAGCTCCACGTCAAGCTCTTACAATCTACGTCTTCAGATGAACGGGCGAAGGTTGCCTACTTCGTCGATGAAGATTTTCTAATCGCTGAGGATGTCTACCTCGAGACGGCCGATACGCTCCGTGATATGATAAGTAAATTAAGCGTCTCTTCACCGCCTTCTCTCGATCGTAGCACTGACTCCTCGTTTCGCGACAGTAATAATAATGGTTTCCAGTTGCCTCGTATTACGCTTCCGAAATTTTCGGGGAAGTTTTCCGAATGGGAAAGCTTCAAGAACACTTTCGAGTCTCTCGTTGCTAGTAACGGTACGCTCACTAACACTCAAAAGTTTCATTACCTGAAAACAAGTGTCATCGGTGACGCTGCCTTAATAATAAATAATTTAAAGATTTCGGATCCGAATTACGAATTGGCGTGGCAACTCTTAATTGCCGAATATAATGATGAGGCGACCTTGATTAATACTCACTTGCATGCTTTCATGTACATGCCCGTTATGAAACATGAAAGCGTAGGCGAGTTAAAGAGATTGCGAGACACGGTGGCTGCATCGCTGGCCGCGCTGACGAATTTGAGTCGACCGGTTGTTCAGTGGGACGATATGCTTGTTTATTGCGTCTCACAAAAATTCTGTCAAAAAACGCGAAGCGAGTGGAACTTGAAGTGTTCCTCTATAACTTGTTACGTCCAACAATTCACCTGGCGGTAAGTTGCCTTCTGCACAAGTCGGTCTTCTCTCGCGTCTACCTCGGTTAAACGTTTGAGAAGCTGCTCTCTATTTTTTATGGGCAACCTGCTAGGCCGGCTATACCCAGGGATGCCGAGAGCTTGAGATTCGGTTGAGAGTATCGGACAGAGAAGGAAACTGACGGGTCGGGTTGATAAATAAAGATAATTTGTTAATATAATATCGTTTATTTATTCATAAAACCTTCTCGTTGATATAAGGGTTATAGGTCCTGACGTGGTTCGTGGGGAACTTGAAATCGAGTTATAATATTGCTAAGTTCCTCTTCCGGATTGTCAGACTGATTAAGGTAAGTAATAAAAGATGCGAAGTTGTCCCGAGCTCCTTCGGGGATGAAATCGCGAGTGTCGTTGAATGTGAGGTTAGCGGTGTCCTCGTCGAAAATGTAGAGGTCTTGTTCGTTACGAGGTTGTAGAATGGGATCGTATGATGATACGATATGTTGGCTTGGATCCGGAATATAATATTCGGGATCGGGTAAGAAATTATGATTCGTATTTGATTCTGAATGTGACGGATCCGGAAATTGCGGATGAGAATAATCAATGTAAGGCGGAAGATTATTTATGGGCGAATAAACGTCTGGAGAAGGGATCGAACGATTATTCGCGTTGGAAAGATCTGGACATGTAAATTAAGGGGCCTTCTTGTCCTACGTTCGCGTAGTCTATGGAGACGTTGCTCGTCGCGATCAATTTGATTCCTCCTTCGGAAGGGAGAGACCATCTAATGGTTGGATAATTTTATATGAATAATATGCATTATTGATCGAAGAATATTTTATAATGTAAAATAATTGAATTAGACTCACGTTTATATCGTGATTTACTCGTTAACGAAATCAAAATGAGATGAAAGGTTAATCTATGCTAGGATGCCCTTCACCTGTTAATTAATTAAGCCTTGTGTCAATTGTTGTTATAATTAAATGATATTAAACTGAAATTGATAATAAAGTAGAAAAAGAAAAAGGATTCTGAATGCGTATTAATATCTATATCAAGAATATTAATATTTGTAGTTTCAAACATAAATAACTAAAATCTTAAATATTGAAGTAATAATTCTTAATAATTATCAAGACCTCTGTCATTCGGTTTGGTAAAGTAATTCGTTTGGTTTATAGAGCGGTGAGAGAGTAAGCTGGGAATGGTAAAGAAGTACACGGTTATCCCGTGTGAATTCTGGTCCTTAAAGGCTAACGCGTACGTTCACTTTACTAAACGTGCATCTCAGAATTGTAGCAACGAATTTACCTTATGACAGAGTATCGTTCTATTAGTAGTAAATAGGATAAGGTGGTGTACACTTGTCAAAACGAATCGAATATCAATATGCAAAATCACTGCCAGTTGGTGTAGTAAAGTATTCGCAACTATTGGAAAGTGCAAGGTAATAAAAGCGTAAAAGCGATAGAGAGATAGGTGTTCATCCGGCTAGGCCGGGTTCTCAGGTCCTTGTCTTAATAGGCTAATGCATACGTTCACTTTACTAAACGTGCACCTCTGAGATGACTTGCGAATGTACCTTCTGACAGGATATAATTTCTAATGTGTACTGTGGAATTAGCGTTATTCAATTCGCTAATAGGTGGTAGGATACAGGGTTACATACATATATAATTAAGCAGTAATATAATAAAATACATTAATATATATATTTATAATGCAAGTACAATAGGTTAAATAAGTATGCGATATTGGTTAAATAATATTGAGTAGTATCGAATAAAATATAATATATGTCAACGATTGCAACGTAGACGTGTGCGGATGCAATTAATAAATTGAAATAATATTAGGAATACAGAGTAATATATGGCTTACGTCTATATTCAAGATTCAGAGTTCAGAGTGTAATGTAAGATTGAATTAAAATTAATTGGTTAAATATAATTGGTTAAATATAATGAGTGTCCGCGCTTTACTATTTAGGGATATGTGAACTGGCTTAAATACTCACAAGGTTAGACAATGTCTTATGTGCCTTGCTATGGTACACTTCGCTACTGTGTTCTTCCCTCTGAGTCTGGAGATCTGAGGAGCCTCGGTACCTCGGTCCGAAATGACGGCTATGTCTCGTTGTCTTCAGGACTCCGTAGTAATAGCTGGTTGGTTGACTGCAGTTGGAAGTACTGAACTTGACGACTTTCGGTGGATCACTGCCGTTCCGTGCCGGGAGCAGGGTTTATATACCGTAAAATGTGGCTCGCTCCTCCCATCGGTCGATGCGGCCTAGCCAATGGCAAGTGAGATGTGCAGGGGAAGTACCGGAGATAATTTGTTCTTAGTAGAGATTGTGTCGGGTAAGTTCCGGAGAGATAGCTTCTTAGTAGCGATAGCGGTGTTCCTAGGTGACTCATCGCTAACGGTTTCCAATCGTCTTTTATTCTCAGTAGCGATAGCGGTGCTCCTTTACTGACTTATCGTTATGCGCTCCGACTTCTCTTATTGTATTCTCAGTAGCGATAGCGGTGCTTCTTTAGTGACTCACCGCTATGCGGCTTGCAACGGGCCTTCTTTATTCTTGGTAGTGATATTTCTTGACGGTCTTCTGTAATCGATTTGCAGGTGGCAACGTGTTTCAGCATTGCATCATGCATTGCATCACGCTATCGTTCTAGAGCCTTCTAGAATCTTCTGGATGTTTCCTTGCGAGTAAAGTCGAGTTCACATAGTAAAGCAGCTTTCATACATAATTATTTAATTATTTAGTATACTTCTTTATAAGCAATATATATATATATATATATATTTTCAGGTATTACCGTTTTAATAAGGCGGGTTTCATACATGCACTGAGAGAAAATAATAGTATTCTTCTCTTAGTGTAGTGGCTCCTTTGGGCGTATGATGGATATAATGTTATTTTACGCTATGTATATAATCTTCGGGTCTTATAATTATAAGTAAATGTATTTATAAGAAGTTTTGTGTGTTAATATATGTATATATATCATGTACATATTTAAAATTTAATACTATTGAATAATACATATTTAATATTAGTAAAATGAATATTATATTGTAATAGTCAATCTGTATAATTAATCGAAATTTATTCAAAAATAAGTAATTACTATTCATTTAAGTCGTTCAAATTATTTGTAATGAAAAAAAAGAGAAAAAAGGAAATAATTGTATTATATGTCAAATATTATATCTTATACTGTCATTGAAATTGCCAGAGAATACTATATGTCTTATACAGTCATTGAAATCGCCAGAGAATACTATATGTCTTATACAGTCATTGAAATCGCCAAAGAATATATATAGTGTCGTCAAAGTATACGATTGACATATATAAATATATATATCCGTATGTATATACATATATACGTTCTTAACCTTATTTTAGGTTTTCTCACAAATAATCAATGAGGATTTTTCTTATTAAACTAAATATATTATATTTATATTATATTATATTATACCATATTTAGTTAGTATTATAGATGTTGTTCTTATATTGTTTTTTGTGAGAAGACATATCTTAGCCTACGAGTGGTTATATTTGTGATTAAATATTCGTTAATACCGGTCTTTCATGCAAGTTAGAGATTGTCATGACTAATAGGTTAAAAAAAATTAATGATTGAAGAAGATTGAAATTTTGAAATTTGTCTGGACGTTACAAACTTCAATTCCGGCGTACAAAGATATTCATGAATTTCTTACGACTCGAATCCGCGGATTGTCAGACTTCGCGGAAGTGTCAAGAGAAAGTGTTAATCAAAAGCCAAACAAGCCGCGTTCGTCAATGCATAACGTCTCCGCTGTCAAGTGCATATGCTGCTCAGGCAATCATTTCGTGATAAAGTGCGAGCCATTTCGTCAAAAATCAGTTGAACAACGAAATGAGCTCGCTCGCAAAAATCGTGTATGCTTTAATTGCTTGCGCTCGGGGCATATTTCGCCGAATTGCCCGAGCCAACAGCGATGCAACCACTGCAGTCGGTCTCATCATTCTTTATTGCATTCCGAAAATTATCAATCGTCAGCTGTCAGAAAAGATTCGGAAGCTGCGAAACCGAGCGTGAAAACGAATGCGAAGTCCGACGCCTTGGACGGTTCCAATAACGCTGCCGTGGCCAGCGTCCAGACAATCGAGCCGCCGGACTTTACGACTCCCGCGGTTCTCCTCGCAACCGCGTGGGTGAACATCCACACCGCTGAGGGCCGACGCTTTAAGGTTCGCGCGCTATTGGATCAGGGATCCAATTTTAGTTTTATATCGGAATCTTTCTGTCAAACCATACGGACCAGGCGACAAAGAACCGATTTACAAATCAAAGGATTCGGGGAAACCTACACGGGTGCCGCAAAGTCGCGCGTGTCCTTGCGAATGACTCCGTGCGCGAAATCCGACCCGGTATTTCCAATCACAGTGTACGTGTTTCCGAAGATCACGTCGTACGCGGCTTCGCGAGTTCGACCTGTCGAATCGTGGCCTCACTTGAAGGGCCTTTCCCTCGCGGATCCGGATCCGTCGAGCAAACATCAAATTCACTTGCTTCTTGGAGCCGACGTTTATGGCTCACTTTTGATGCGCCATACGCATCAAAAGTGAGCCATAAACGTCGGCTCCAAGGCAAGGTCCGCTCGGTACCCCCACAGCTCAACTAACCGCGCTCGGTTGGATTATTTCCGGTCCGACCGAAAATAAACGGAAGGCTTCAAAAGAAGCCGTTTTAAATTGCGTTCTCGGTCAAGAGATAGACACTCTTCTCCAGCGGTTCTGGGAAGATGAGGAGATCGCGCCTCAAATTCCCCTCACGGAGGAGGAAGAGATTTGTGAGCGACACTTCGTGCAGACGCATAGTCGGTTGTCCGACGGACGATACGTCGTTCGACTACCCTTTAAATGTGATCCTCCGATCGAAATCGGAGAGTCTCTTTCCATTGCGCGGTCGCTGTACAACCGCATGGAAAACAGATTGAGAAATCGATCGGAACTGTATTCGCAGTATAACGAATTTCTAGCGGAATACGAGTCCCTCGGACATATGACTAGCGTCGACGAGTCGGAAAAAACCGAGTATTTGCCCGTTTACATTCCGCACCACCCCGTGATTCGGGAAGATAGTTGCACGACTAAATTACGGGTCGTTTTCAACGCGTCGTGCCGAACTAGGAATGGCACGTCGTTGAATGACTTTTTATTAATAGGGCCCAAATTACAGCAAGATCTACCTGCCGTGTTATCGCGATGGCGACGGTGGAGCTTCGTCTGTACGGCCGACATCGCCAAGATGTTTCGGCAAATTCAAATTCATGAGCAAGATTCAGACCAAAGAATTCTTTGGCGTCCTCAAGCGGAAGCGCCCGTTCGACATTTTCGCTTGTTAACGGTCACTTACGGTCTCGCTCCCGCTCCGTATCTCGCAATGCGAGTATTGAAACAGCTCGCCCTTGACGAGGGAGAAAAGTTCAAGGCCGCGGTTCCTATCCTAGGAGAGTTTATGTAGACGACGCCCTGTTTGGCGCGGATGATATAAAATCTTTAAAAAATACTCGCGTTCAATTGATGCAGTTAATGGAAAAGGGGGGATTTCAATTAAGGAAATGGGCATCAAATTCGATCGAACTTCTCAAGGATTTGTCTGTTGACCAATCGGAAGTAACCGATCATCTAATCCTGACGGAAGATTCACTTAAAGTTCTCGGCCTGTCATGGATGCCTAACGAAGACGTGTTTCGCTTGGTCGTGAACTCGACCACCCCCAGCGTTCCTACCAAACGCTCAATTCTTTCATTTATCGCGAGGCTTTACGACCCTCTCGGATGGGCCGCTCCCGTCGTGATCGTGGCAAAAATAATACTTCAAGAGCTGTGGTTGTTACATTGCGAATGGGACTCTCTCATCTCCGATGAGTTAACGTCCCGTTGGAATTATTTTGTATCAGAATTTCACAAATTAGAAATGATCAAAATTCCACGGTGGACTGGTCAAGGTCCACAAACTCTCGCGCTAGAGATACACGGTTTCGCTGACGCGTCAAATCGAGCTTATGCCGCCGTCGTATATCTTCGCGTCTATCATTCGCTTTCAGACTTCGCAATAAATTTAATCGCAGCAAAAACAAAGGTCGCGCCCGTGAAAACCGTGAGCATCCCGCGTCTAGAGTTAAACGCGGTAGTGTTATTGAGTCGCCTCGTAAAGTGGACTGTTAATTCGTTGCAGTTAGTTGGAACTCCGATCCATTGTTGGACGGATTCCACGATAGCTCTGGCGTGGTTGCGCCAGCACCCATCAAAGTGGAACACATACGTGGCCAACCGCGTGGCTGAAATACAGAACAATTTGCCATCTACTCGGTGGAGTCACGTACCATCGGCAGAGAACCCGGCGGATTGTGCGTCGCGCGGGCTATCCGCGTCTGAGTTAGTGTCGCATTCGCTATGGTGGACGGGACCACCATGGTTTCGGCAACCTTCAACGGCTTGGCCGATTCATGATATGACGAATACTAGACCCACTAATGAACTACAGCAAGTTTCAGCTGAACTGCGAAAAACCAAAGTTCTTCACATTGAAGGTGAAGAAGAGTGGGATCTACTTTACAATTTTCAAGTTGGACGAAGCTCGTCCGAGTGACGGCTTACGTCCACAGGTTTCTCGCCTTACTGCGGAAGGAAAAGGTTCGTAAATTTAAAAAAGATTCGACACTGAGCGTCGACGAGCTTAAACGGGCCGAGCAATTCTGGCTGTCTTATGTCCAGCGGAGAGCTTTCAAGGTCGAATTCAAAACTTTGCAAAAGACTGCCACGATTTCAAAAAAGAGTTCCCTTCGAACTTTTGCTCCATTCTTAGGAAAAGATTCGGTACTCCGGCTTGGCGGGCGGTTGCGACACTCCGCTCTTAGCTACGATGAGCAACATCCCGTAATCGTGCCGCGCGGACAACTCGCTTACCTTCTAATCGCTCAAGCTCATAAGAGTACACTCCACGGTGGAGTTCAAATCGTGCTGCGCACCCTTCGTCAGAATTATTGGTTAATGGGAGGGCGAAACTCCGTCAAGGGATATATAAGACAATGCATCCCTTGCGTACGTCACTCGGCTAAACTTTCGAGCCAATTCATGGGAGACCTCCCGTCTCCACGCGTCAATCCGTCGTCTCCATTTGCTCATACGGGAGTGGATTATGCTGGCCCTTTCTTAGTCACGCCGTTCGTTGGCAGAGGCCAAAAAACCAGAAAAAATTATATAGCTTTGTTCATCTGCCTCGTCACGAAAGCAATCCACGTAGAGCTAGTCGAAGACTACTCTAGCGCTGGGTTCCTCGCCGCCTTTCGGCGATTTGTGAGCCGAAGGGGCTTGCCGTCCAAGCTATATAGCGATAATGGAACGAACTTCCACGGGGCTGACAAGGAATTGAACGACGCGTTCAGCGCCTTGATGAAGGATTCGTCACTGCACGACATCCTTGCAAATGACAAAATTGAATGGAACTTCATTCCGTCTGCGGCTCCTCACTTCGGTGGGCTATGGGAGGCGGGAATCAAAAGTCTCAAGTCGCACTTAAAACGAGTCGCCGGTTCGCGAACTCTGTCACAGGCCGAATTCGCGACGTTATTATGCCAAATCGAGGCGTGCTTAAATTCTCGTCCGATCGCGGCATTAAGCGACGATCCGAGTGACCTATCGGCACTCACTCCGGGTCATTTCCTGATCGGGCGCCCCATAATTGCGATACCGGAGGAGTCAGTGCTCGAAAGTAATGCGAATCGACTATCGCGATGGCAGATGGTCCATTCTTTAGTCGAACAGATTTGGCGCTCGTGGTCACAAGACTACTTGCACTCCCTGCAGCAGCGGCGTAAGTGGTCGGAAAAAACGTCTTGTTTTCGCATAGGAGAACTCGCCTTGTTGAAGAATCCCTTGCTCCCTCCGAGCAAGTGGAACCTAGCGCGAGTCACGCAGATTCATCCCGGCTCGGATGGACTCGTGCGAGTAGTTACGGTGAGAACTGCGAGCTCGATCCTGAAACGACCAATTACGCTACTGTGCCGGCTGCCAATCAATAGCAATATTTGAAAATTGTACTTGCGTTAAACTTAGATTGTAATTATTTGATAAATTTCGGGTGTGATTTATGTATTTAGCGTCAAAATCTACTATGTTAGGCAATATTCTCCTCTTCGGCGTGGTTTTCGAGCCAGGTATCGCATTTATGACTTTGTTATTCGACCCATCGCATTGTCGGTAGAATTTCGAAACATGTATAATTGTGATAAATATAAGGCCAACTTATCGAGCTGAATATTCGAGATGTTCAGTCAACTACCATTTATTACATGTATAAATTATAAAACTACAGTCATTATATTAAAACTAACGCAAATTACAATCATTCTATAAACGTTTCGACCGCACGCGGTCTTCTTCAGTATAATTATTGAAATATAAATTCTTACAATTCACATAATATCGAAATTTAATTATAGTTATTCAGAATCAAGAGTTTTTGAGTAATTAACGCGTGTTTCAATCCGTCCTGTCCAACAATGTTCGCCTCGATATGATCCCTGATTTTGTTCAGATCTCGGATAGTTTCATCGTTAATATGCGAGAAATTAACCCGTTCCGTAGGCGCTGCGATTTATAAAAAATTACCGATCAACGCATGTCAAATTATAATATGTATCCCCTACAATTGGTAGTATGCTTACCTATCATCGTTCTTCTTTGATAATTTTGCTTACTTATTAACAGTATTAAGGATGACACATAACAAACCAACAATTACTCAAAAACTCTTGATTCTGAATAACTATAATTAAATTTCGATATTATGTGAATTGTAAGAATTTATATTTCAATAATTATACTGAAGAAGACCGCGTGCGGTCGAAACGTTTATAGAATGATTGTAATTTGCGTTAGTTTTAATATAATGACTGTAGTTTTATAATTTATACATGTAATAAATGGTAGTTGACTGAACATCTCGAATATTCAGCTCGATAAGTTGGCCTTATATTTATCACTTTGTTTTCAATATACGAGCGACAATTGTATTAATTTATGTATAATTGTATTCGCGTAACAGCCGAAAGAGGCGAATATTTGCTAAGGCTCAGTGCCTATTGAAAATTGAGAGCGTCTTATAATTAGAAATATTTACTCGAAATTGTAAAAGGTTTTTTCACCGTCTGATTACTTGCTCTCGTTATTCGATCGCAAGAAATTATTGAATTGATCTCTTGTTTGATTTCTTGTTGATGAAAATTGATTTATTGTCTTCATCGTAGGTTGAAGACTACCGTTGGCTATATTTCGCATATTCGCATACGTTCAAATGCGAGGCGGGCGGTATGTTTAAAATTGTCACGTATTTTCGGAGCGACGAAGCAAGGTTAATCGTAGAAATTGAAAATATTCGACGCCGAGATGTTATTCCGGTTGTTTTCGATTCCGCGAGCGAGGAATCTACAAAAACTCGCCTTTGTCTCGCGTTTCGGAGCGTGATGGGGCAATCGTCCGCGAATAGGATTTCAGCACGTGTGCCACGCGTCGATCGGATGATCGATCGCCTCCTACTGCCGAATTCCGCGAGGATCAAAATGAGTCTACTCGAGGAGTCTGAACTGAAGAGACGTCTCCGTGTATATCAGCGAAAAGAGCATCGCGCGAATTTATCTCGTTCTAGAGCGATATTCTTCCGCGTTTTAATCTTGTCTGCGAGAGTTTTGAATAAAACTGCTTTGCCTCAAAAGTGAATTTCTCCACCTTTACAATTTTCTCGCATCAGTCTCCTTCGTATCTACGAGCCGACTTATAAATAAATAAATTTGCCTCTCGCCAGAAAATAAAACAAATCGAAGGTTCTCGCACACCTTGTGAACTGCAGGACACATAAACATCGACATTTCGAACGCACATTGCGGTCCACGATACATTCCCGACCACGCCTGGCTGAGAGTCGTTTAGTACCCCTAAAACTGCTTGCGCCCGAAAAGCGCGCACGGCTACGACGCGGGCGACCAGAGAAATGGCGCGCGCGTCGCCTGTGCTCTGTGCAACGCTTACAATGGGCGTACGAGCGATCGTTGGACGTTCGCCGAGGTGTCTGTGCCGCGCCGACCAGCCGCGGCGCAAATCCTTGCGTCGTCTGAAATGACACACCGAAATAATAATGAGAAAGAGAAGCGCACAAGCGTGTAAAACGTTGGCGAACGCGCGCAGAGAATGCTGCGCGAATTTAAGAGGGGGAGCGTGTTTGTGTATCCAAGTCGTGTGTGTACGCGAGAGCCGAGGAGAAATGGGATGAGAGTAAGAGCGCGCGCGAAGGGAGCAACAAACGGCCAAAAAAGGGTCAGGGCGGTGATGGCACCGCTTTCCTCTAGAGCGGCGCGTGCGTCGTTGTCTCCCGAAAGTAGGTAGCGCATGTCTCACCGTCTCTCTCTCCGTACATCACACACGACTGACGACTGCTCTCGCACTCTGTGCCGCGTCTCTCGGTGCGATAGCGCTCGCGCGTCTTATGCCGAGGCGCCCTTGCCCGCACACATAACGGTATTACGGAGAAATATACGGCGCGTCGTCGTCCGCGGAGAGGCATTCTTATCCTTTACCTCTTCCGGAGAAGGGTTTTGAATCGCGAGCCGACCGCGTGTCCGAGTCCACGAAATTTTCGTAAAGCAAAAAAAGGAACCGGCGCGCCGCGTCGTACTCGTCGAATCGATTCCGCCCGAATTCGTATATAAAGAAAAGGAGAGCCGAGAATTTCGAACCCCGATATATCGTCTCCATTACCACCAACGAGTGTGTGTGCGGTTAGCGCCCCGGCGATTTGCCTTCTCGCGATTTTCGTGTGCTGCCGCTGCTGCTCTCTCGTCGACGCTCTCTCTCTCTCCTCTATATATTATAGAGGAGAGACGACGATGAGCGACGCGGAGGAGGCAAACGGCTTCGAAAACTCACCTATGCGACGACCTCAGAGCAGGCGAGATTACCCGCTGAATTTAAGCATATTATTAAGGCGGAGGAAAAGAAACTGACCAGGATTTCCTTAGTAGCGGCGAGCGAACAGAAAGAGCCCAGCACCGAATCCCGGCGGTTCCGCCGCAGGGAACTGTGGTGTTCGAAAGGATCCCTTACCCGAGGTGCCGCGTCGCGTCCAAGTCCATCTTAATGGGGCACTTACCCGCGTAGAGGGTGCCAGGCCCGTTGCGACCGGTGCGCGCCTCGTGAGAATCT